TTGCATTTTTTCATGTCTTTAGTAGTTAAAAGTGTATGCTCTGGAGTCAGTGTGGATATGGTGTGTGCAAGCAAAAGACTTAACTTCTAAGTCTCAGTTTCTTTTGTCTTTCAAATAGGGATAATAACAATGCCTACTTCATCTTCCTAATGTGATTATGTACTTATAATAATTAGCATAGTGCTTGATATACATTCAGAGCTCAATAAATGTCCACTATAATAATAATATGAATTGTACTCTTTTGACATTGTCTTTTAGGAAATACAGTTGACCCTTGAACAACATGATTTTAGAACAATCTAAGTCCACTTATACATGGATATTTTTTTCAGTAAATACACAATCAATCCTCTATGTCTCTGGGTTTTACAGATTCAACCACCGCATATCGAAAATAATATTTTTTAAATATGTTTTTATTGATTTTTTTTACAGAGAGAGGAAGGGAAAGGGAAAGAGAGATAGAAACATCAATGTGAGAGAGAAATATCAATGGGCTGCTGCTAAGGGCTGTTAGAATACACTTTGGCTTAATTTACATCAGTTGGACTCAGGGAGCCGGCAGAGCCACTCCCTGGGGGTGGGACTAGTCAAAAGATTGGACGCCACCCAGTTTGACTCTCCCGCCCAGTGTTAAGGGGATGGATCTCATGATGTCAAAGGCCCACCCAGATGTGATGTAACTTCCTTTAACTCAAGTATATAATAAAGCAGCTTTTGGAGCTGGAGCTCTCTCTCTGCGTGCTCTGTCCCTCCAGAGGGCAGGCACCACACCCAGCCCAAGCTTTTAATCTATTTTATGTCTGTCTTTCATTATTTCTTCAATCCCGAAAGTGCCTCTTAGATTGCATGAACCGGTCCAAGTCTCCTTCTCCGTGTGGGCGCGGGAAGAAGACAGCCCCAGGTATAGGCTGCCTCTTGCATACCTGCTACTGGGGATCAAGCCCAAAACCTGGGCATGTGCCCTGACTGGGAATCCAACTGGTGGCCTCTTGGTGCATGGAATGATGCTCAATCCACTGAGCCACAATGGCCAGGGGAAAATAGTATTTTTGATCCATGGTTAAGAATCTAACAATATAGAGGGCCAACTGTATACATTGTTCTACACTATTTTATATAAGGGACTGAGCATCCTCAGATTTTAGTATCCACAGGAGGTCCTGGACACAATCCTCCACAGATACCAAGGGATGACTGTAATTACGTTTTAGGGAAGTCATAATTATATACAAATTTTTTACTGCACACGGGGTTGGTACCCTTAACCCCCTGTATTGTTCAAGGGTCACCTGTAATTTAAAACATTCAAAGGTGTTATCATTGTTTTACTGAATATCATGGAGCCTCTAAAAATTATATATACAAAGAGTGTCTAATGACACGTGGAATGCTGATGGTATTGAGTAAAAATAAAGATATTACATGACAATGTTTAATATCACCTAATTTATTACAAATGTATATATATATAATTGTATAGAAAACTAAGAAAAATGTCAATGTTAGTATTTCACCTGAAAGGCCTATATAGGGTGATTTTTATGCTTATCTAAACTCTGTAAAAATGGTCTTAATATTTACAATCATAGTTCACTCTGTAGTCAGAAAAATAAAACCTCAAGATCCCCATTCGAGTCCCACTCAGCCCCTGTCCTGGGAAGAAGGTCACAGTGGTGCCCTGGGCTTGCGCCTGAAGCTTGCTGCTGGTGGTGCCCGGTGGGACTGGCCACTTCAGCCTGCCGTGCCTGCATTCTGTAGGCTGCCCTCGGGAACTATACTTCTCTGATTACAAGTCAGAACACTGGTATTAATCCTCAAGCCCTGGTTGCTCTGATTTTTGGCTTTTTTCCCTGCACATCATCACTCATTTTGAGCTTTCCCAAGATACTCTCCCCTACAAAGTGATTTTGATGTCAAGCTTCTTAAGACAAAGGTGTTTCTTGGGTTTTAGGAATTTACTTTTTTTTCTGGTTGGTTTAATAAAAGTCAGTCAACTTTCAGATCGACTTCAGGGCATTTTTATTTAAGTGATCTTCAGTTGGGGACTTGTATACGATGGAGGTTTGCATGAGTGTATTACCAGGGGACCCACTCACGTTGTTGTTTTGGAATGAATCGATTCATGAGATTGGGTGTTTAGAAGACTTTTTAAATTGTGGATGAATGAACAATGAATGAATACAGGTAGCAAACCAAAACAGTTAGAGAGTTCAACTTTCCAGACTCAGGTAATTACGTGTGTGAGGTAAAACTATAACCCAACTTGGATTAATGTGATGCTTTGGGCAGCCTGCAGTTGATAGTTTTATATTTTCAGTTGTCAGTTATTGGTTTCTCTTTGCCTCTGGGTACTCATTCCATCATGCAAGTGATATGTCTTAAAACTTAACATGAAACCATGGAGAGCAGCAGAGGCCTGAGATTTGGAAGGTGAGGTCAAGGAAAGTAAATAGAGATGAGGGAAAGTATGCAATAATGCTGAATTTCAAATAATGTTGAAAATTGGTCAAGCCTAGCCAGTTTGACTCAACGGCATCGGCCCAAGGACTGAAGGGTTCCGGGTTTGATTCCAGTCAAGGGCGTGCACCTCGGTCGCAGCCTCGATCCATAGCCCCATCTGGGGCTTGTGCAGGAGGCAACCCATCGATGTATTGCTCTCACATTGATATTTCTCTCTCTGTGTCTCTTCCCCTTCCTTCTACTTTCTCTAAAAATCAATGAAAAAATATCCTCGGTGAGGATTAATAACAACAACAAAAAAGAATGTAGGTGGAAGAATTAGCCATTTCATTCTGTGAGAGAAGGATTGAAATAAAAATGGGTAAATACAGATGTGCTGAGGTTGACAGGGAGGAACTGAAGGTGCTCATGCTTGAAGGGCTGAAAGAAGTAGAAGATGAAATAACCTGGGAAGGGAGGAGGTGGGCAGGTGGGGGTGGTGACTAGAGAAGAGCAATAAAGGTTTAAAAGCAGCTGCCATGAGGTGTGAAGGAGCGTCCATAACTCAGCTCTATCTTCCTTTAGAAATAATACTATACATTATGCTCCTTTTTTTTTAACAGCTTCTAGAGATCCTTAAGATAAGACGAATCCATAAATATTTATTTATTGTACCCACAGAATACTCCCGAGACCTGCTTACTTTCTCTTCAAAGCATCCCCTGGGTGATTACTCTTTCGTTTCTCTAATTGCACACTAGAGAAAGCTGCAGTTAGTTGCAACTAGTGTTTAGGTCTCTGCACACCTGCAGACCTTGTTGATGCATGCCTGAGCCCACAACTCCCTGCAAGTACTTGCTTTAAAGAGGAAGAGGCCATGACCTTTCAACTAATCGCGCCTTGAGTCAGTAATGTGCCCGATCCGAACATGTATCCACGCATTTAGGTAATCACAAAGCACAGCCTCCTCCATTTGCTCCAGCAACTTTTAAAGCTTTTCTGAGTCTCCCCTTTGTACATGTAGGGTTGTGCTCCTGGCACTGTGAGTAGGGCACAGGAATAAAGATTTTAAAAAGTTTGGCATTGTGTGGAAACCATACATTAAATCAAGGAAAATTGCCTCCTTATCATATTTCTCTCCATACAGTCATAATCTCCTTTATGAATCTCTGAAGGGCTGTCATGAGGCTTAATTTGGCTCTTAGGATATTCAGAATTGTTCCTAATACTAGCAAAGGCTGCCTGTAACTTGAAACTCCCAAAGTTCAGAGAAAGGTCAGGGGCTGTTAGTTTGCCTGCTTCAGGAGGGTCAGCATTTTTGAGGACTTTTGCTTCAACTGCTGGAGTCACTGTAAAAGTCCTAGCATGGTTTCTCATGCAGGTGAGTGGGTGCTGGGTATGGGACTCAAATCTGCTTCTTGCACAGGGAACACATCTCGGATGATCAGCAGTTAAGAAAATGTATGATTGAAGGTATAGAGAGAAAGACCTGTTTTAGCAGAGTTCAGGGGTCAGCAATCTGTTTCAATGACAGAATTGTTTTTAGTCTAAACATCAGTAGATATCCCAGTCTATATCTGTAAGACTTTGAGATGAAACAAGACTATCTGGTCCCTGAGTGAGACATTAGCAAGTACAAACAGTGCTTTGAATCCAAAGGGGAAGATGGAAAGGCCTTATAGCCAGAGCTCTCTCTTCTTTTTCCTCGGGCTTTTACTCCTTGTTTATGTTGGTGGGTAATTATGGATTTGTGTATTTTCTTCCACCTTTGGAATGGAGGATGGTCAATGGGACTTAAAGGGTAATTATCAGGACAGATGTTTTCACCTAAGTGGGAGATGAACACAATCAAGTTCTTTAATTAAAGGATGTCTATTATATGGGCGAGAACAAGAGGCAGCACTCGCCATACCAGATAATTTGTCTTATAGCTTCAATCATAACTGGTACAACAGAGCTTCTGCGAGCTATGTTTCGTGTCATGAAAATGAATTTTCAACTCATACCTCTTTGTCATAAATTTTCCTTTAGTTAAAAATTAAAGTTTTCCACTATCTGAACCCAATGATTTACTAACTCCAATCCCCCCGTACCAATGCCTGAGACTGGTGTACTGCCTCTGGAAGGCCGAATCTGGGAGGGCAGTGAGCACAGCTCAGAAGCACGGGGAAGGGGGCGCATGCTGTCCTCGAGTTCTCGGAGCTCATGGGGAAATGGTGATAGTATCGATGATACTGTTTCTGTGAGTCTGACAGTTCGCTGTATACCCCTTGCAAGTATCTCTATCACAAGCTGCCCTAGAACTTGAAGGTCGTTCAATTGGAAAGGGATGAAAACTCAATTGATGTGCTGGGCCTGGCCATTTGCTAAAAACCTCAAACACACAATTTGTGCAGATCCCTCACGTCTGCTCTACTGCCAGATACTGCCTTTGGGGCACTCAAGCTGTCTGTGCTGCAACGGTGGTAATTGCAGTTCCATCTGCCCTTTTGGTGTAGTGATGAGTCTTGGTGCTTCCATCATCTGCTTTCTCTGTGCTCCCTTGCCCTCTCCAGACTGCCATCCTCTGTGCCAGCAATGTGCAGCTGATCTCCACAACCCCGGGAGCATCTGCCTGAGGTGCCAGAACACCCAGTTCCTGTTGCTGGGGGACCACTGTGTTCCCGACTGCCCTTCTGGATATTACGCGGAGGAAGGAGCTTGTAAAAGTAAGTAAGTGCTGGACACAGGAGCTGGTGGCCCTGTTGAGCTTCTCTTTCGGGTAATAGCTGAGGAGACTTGGGGTGGAGGAAAGAGAGAGATAGGAGAGAGAAAGAGAGAGAGAGAAAGAGAGAGAGAGAGAGAGAGAATAGGAGGGGAGGGCAGGGGTAGGGAGGGGAGCAGAGGGAGCACAGTGATAATAAATCAGACCAGCTAATGTTCTCAGCATTGGGGCTTTTTAAAAAATTTATCCTTATTGTTGAAGGTATTACAGATGTCCCCCTTCCAAAAATTTATCCTTATTGTTGAAGGTATTACAGATGTCCCCCTTCCCCCCCATTGACCCCCTCCTTCCCACACCCACCCCAGCATTGGGCTTTTATGAACAGTTCTTGGGATACTACTTTGGAAAGGAGTTTGGCTTCATAGGTTCTCTTTGTGTCTCTGCAGAATGTCACTCCTCCTGTAGAACCTGCCAGGGCAGAGGACCCTTCTCCTGCTCCTCATGTGACACTGGCCACGTTCTGTCCCACCTTGGCACCTGCAGCACCACCTGCTTCCCAGGGCACTATCTCGATGACAGCCATTCTTGTCAATGTAGGTTTTAAAACATGAGTTTTCTCTCTTTTCCTTTTGCTTCTGTTTTCTTACCTGTAGCCTTTATTTTTATAAAAGGACGAAAATTAATCTAAAAAGGCATATGGATGCCATTAGCAGATTTAATCAGATATCACCCTAATTCGAAGTGCTGGGCTGGGCCTCTCCTGTGCCAGTACCAGATGTGTGATCTTGGGTCAGTTATTTATTTAATCTCTCTGTTCCGTAGTTATTTTATTAAAAAATAAAAAATATTAGTCTATTTCCTTTTATTGTTTTCTTCAGCATTTGAATCACAAGGTCCTGAGCAGAGATCATTCTAGCACACAGCCAGTGACCTCAGCACTTCTCTGGATTCAATTTGTTTTTGACATGTATTTGTTGAATATTGACAATATGGAGGGCTTGACATGCACAGAGTATTTAGTTTCTGCCCAAACAGTAGTTATTTTGTCTTGCATGAGAGTTAATTGTATAGATGTCTTATTTTTGAAAGAAGTCAAAATATGATTAATTACTGAGTCAGGCAAAACAAAGAGTTAGGATAAATTAGGGAAAGGGCAAATCTGAGGGAACAAATTAGGAAATCCTTCACAGATGACAGAACACTTTTAAAAATGGACTGAGGTGGCTGACTTTATTTCAATCATTGAAGTGTCATTTGGATAT